CTTTTCTTCCAGGAATTCTTCAAATTCTTTATTTTTGAACTCCAACCCATTGTCGCTTCTGATATTGCGAACGACCTTCTTCAGCTGTACTTCAATCTGCTTGATGAACACTTTTAGCTTGTGAGTCGCTTCAGATTTAAGCTTCAGAAAGAACACCCATGTAAAACGTGAAAAGTCATCAACAATAACAAGAATATACTTGCTACCACCAATGCTTTCTATAGAAGATGGACCACATAAATCAATATGAAGTAATTCTAGTGGTTCAACAACTTTAGTGTTTATTATAGATGGATGACTTTGACGACTCTGCTTCCCCATTTCACATGCACACATAGATGATCTCTATCATACTTGAGCAATGGAAGACCTCTAACGTGACCTCCAGTGACAAGTTTGTTGATATCTTTGAAGTTGAGATGAGAGAGTCTTCGGTGCCATAGCCAGCTTTCGTCAGATTGTGCTTTGGATAACAGGCAGATGGCTGGGTTGCCTTTGATTGGTTTGAGATTTAGGGGAAACATTTCACCTTTGCGCTCTGATTTGAGAATAACTTTGTTCGTCTTCTTCTCAATAATTTCCGAACCTTCATCATCGAATGAGACCTTGAGACCAGTACCTCCAACAAGCTGAGATACACTGATGAGATTATGTTGTAGTCCCTCTACATATGCAACTTTCCTGATTGAGAAATCACCGTTTGTAATCATCCCGTATCCTTTGATGGTGCCGAAGGAGTTGTTCCCAAATTTGACGTTTCCACCATTTGAAAGAGATCTGAATTCCCTTAGCTCTTCCTTCCTTCCTGTCATGTGACGCGAGCAGCCACTATCAATGTACCATTCTTCGTCAAACTGCTCGTCACTGATAACCTGCACAAATTAAACAGATTTAGGAACCCAAATTTTCTTGGGTCCACGTGAGCCTTTCACAGAAACAGGAGCAGAAAAAGAGATGTCAACAAAAAATGTTCTTTTTATCAAAGTTGTTTCATTTGTCTTTTTGATGGTGTAAACCTTAATCTTTGTGGGATCTAGAGATTTTGGTTTAGTCTCTGATTTAACTGACGAAACTTCTGATTTTCCTTTCAGGTCAGTTGGAGAATTAGAATGAGATTGAGAAGAAGAATGATTGGAAGAATTAGAATGAGAGAATTTAGACTCAGATGATTTCTTGATTTGATATTCTAGGTAACTCTTTCGGTTTTGATTATCAGTGGAACCGAACCTAGACTTTTGGTCTCTTTTGCTCTCCGAACCGAACCTGTGCTTTCGGTTGAAATCATTTTCTGAACCGAATCTATGCGTTCGGTTGTTGTTTTGCTCAGAACCGAGACTCTGCTTTCGGTTATTGTTTTGCTCAGAACCGAGACTCTGCTTTCGGTTATTGTTTTGCTCAGAACCGAGACTCTGCTTTCGGTTATTGTTTTGCTCAGAACCGAGACTCTGCTTTCGGTTGTTATTGTGTTCTGAACCGAACTTCTGCTTTCGGTTGTTATTACTCTCCGTCGATCCAACAGGATTTTTCGCTGGTTTCAAATTCCTGTCTTGATGTGAGAAATAGGCATTTTGCGATTGCCAAAATTGTTTTCTTTCTGAAAGATTCTTCCTGTATCTCTGATTCCTTTCTCGTTTTTGATTTCTCATCTGCTTTGGTTGATGATGGATGTTAGCTTTATGTTTTTGATTTTCATTGGCTGATTCACTCTGAACTGATGTAGTTTCACTTGGAGATGTGACTTCTTTTGCAGGAATTTCTTTCTCTTGAGGGACATCTTTAGTTCCACTGGTACTTGCCACGTTGAAGCCATCAGGTTTATTTAAAGGTTCTGGTATGTATCTGCCTTTGCTTTTCCATGAAGTCCTTTCAGACAGACCTACCGTTTCATCAGCATTGTCAATGGGAGCTGACCAGAAGAACTCGTCACAGCCATCAGCATTGTCTTCGTTCACAATAGCTGTTAGTTCAGCAGTCTGATGTTCGGTTACACCTGTGACTTTGTACACCTGATTCGGAGTGGTTCTAACTTTTTGGTATACGACTGCCTTCTCTACAAGAATCGGGGACTTTTGTTGGGACAACCGAGCGAACTCCACAGAATTTTCTGAAATAAGATTTTTGTGGTTCTCGGGTTCATTCTTGACAAATTCTGAACAATCAACTGTGTCCTCTACAGAAATTTCACTCATATTATCGTCTTCATTAAGCTCAGATGCATTTTCAAATCAATCTTATTTTCTGAGCTTAAATTGACATTCAGTGAGTCAAATTTTTGTATGGTTTCGGTTCTTAGCTTCAGTTTATCATTTTCATCCAAAAGATTTTTGAGCATGTTCTTGTGGTCCTTGGATTTTATGAAAGATTCTATTTTGTCCAGTCCATACAAATATGTTGGATTAACATCCTCAGACGAAATAATACTCTCACAATTATATGCATCAGCATCAATTTCATCTTCCTTAAACTCAAGAAAGGGTAAAATCATGCGATGAATCTTTTGCCCTATTTCACAATTCAAATGAAGCTGAGTAATATTAGTATAAAGACGTTTGGCAATCAGACAAAAAACATTTCGCTGTTTCAAAAGCTTTAAATTGTCTCTTTGCAAATAAATGTTTTCATCTTTTATTTTGATTAACTCCGACTCCTTCAGTTCGATCCACATCCGCCGTTCCTCACTCTTCGAAGACACCCTGCTTAATTGATCAGTTAGGTTAGAATTGGTGACCCGAGTTTGAGTTAAACTACTATCTAGATGAGAGATTCTTGAATTAACACTTTTTAATTCCTTTTCATATGAGCATTGTGGGACTTTAAATGAGACAAAAACTGATTGTACCTTCTTGATCAGTTCATCAAGTTCGCTGAACTGCACGCTGAGTGGTTTGGCAGTAAAGCACAGATTCTGCTGTTCCTTGTCATCATTCCCACCATCAGTGTTGTATCCCCTCATCTGAGAAACGTCGGACACCATCAAGCATCTTCCTCCACTGCTCTCTTCTTTCGCTACATAAGCCTTTCCATGTGAAGGCTTCCTCACTTCATCATCTTCGGAGTCGGTTGACCAGACCTCCACGCCACCGAACTCATCATCAGCTACCGAACCCTGCACAATTAAAGCATTCATGGAAGGGTTAGCAGCAGATTTCTTCTTCCTTAACTCATCAAGCTTTTTCATCAACAGCTTCTTCATCATTTTCTTCATCCTTTTCTGCCATCTTTTTGAGGACGCAATCTTTTGCATAGTGGTTCTTTCCTCCACAATAATAGCAGCTTACTCCAGAATCTCCTTCTGCCTTCGGTTCCTTCTTTGATTCTTCAGCTTTCGGTTCATCCTTGACCTTTTCAGAGCTATAGCTTCCTTGCCAGTTTCGGTTCCTGTTGGTGGGGAATCTCTTCTTGATGAATCTCTTAGGGTTTGAAACCATCATAGCATAGTCCTCAGACGTGAGATCATAATCATCCAAGTTGAGATCTTCTCCTCTATCACGGCTTTGCTTTTTGATAGGAGGGCCAACGAACCTAGACTTGAACCACGGTTTTCTCCTGTAATACGATCTTTTCTTGAGATTTTAGGATGCCTACCAGTTTCGCCAAAGAATAGGATTTGAATTGCTCGTGCGCTTTAACTGTGGACACGATTGCTCTCCACTCAGACCTGAGTCCGTTGAAAAACGTAACTTTCTGTTCAATAAGCTTCCTTTCGATGTCATGTTTGATCATCTTGCTAAGAAGATGATTGAAGCGATCAAACGTTTGAGTCACCGTTTTTTCTGCTCCTTGCTTGAACTCACCAAACTCAGACAAGAGTAAGGTTTGAATGGAGTGTTCAAGATCTTCGTCTGTAGAGTACAATTCACGTAGCCTGTCCCATATCTCTTTAGCAGTCGTGCATGAACTTACCAGCCTAAAAGTATCGGATTGAAGAGCAAATCTAATCAATCTTAGCGCTTTGATATTGCACTGAAATTTAACTTTTTCGTCTTGCGCTACATCTTTAACATCTTTCAGAAGATCGTTATACTCCTTTTGAGTTTTAATAATCCTTGAAGTTGCTGAATGAGAAAACGGTCCAGAGATAATTGCTTCCCAGATGAGGTATCCATTATCCTCAGATCCTATGACATAATCTTCAAAGTGATTCGCCCAGACTTCATAATCATGGGTGTACAGGATGGGAATCTTCGTTGTTGATCCAATGCTGTTTGAAATATTGATGGGATTGGATTGCGACTCGTCCATAATTGATCGAATAACCTGTTCAAAGATCAGACTTGTAATATATCGAATTAGGGCAAAAACAATAAATATTGAGATACGTCAATTATGAGATGACGGCTCAATAAATATCAATGAATGCGGAATAACCCTAATCGAAGCTTTTTCACAGAAAAGAAGTGTATCGATTACACAGCCTCCGCTCTGATACCAATTGAAGTTAAAAACAAACTTGAAGATCGATTAGATCTATGAAACAGGTAGAGAAATAACCAGATAAACAATTAAGAACAAGCTAATGGATCAAAAGGTGTCAAATGATTTAATAAATAATCCTCAGAAGAGCTCGATAAAAAACTTCAACTGTAGAGGATTTTAGGGTTTACAATAATCAATGAGAGTGACGACTACTTCTATACGCATACATGCATGCATATATTTATAATAAAACCCTAACCGTTTATCTAAGAAAAAGAAGGCTATATATATATATATATATATATATATATATATATATATTAATATATATATATATATATATATATATATATATATATATCAAGGTAAGTTGCAAATACTAGGAATATGTTTCCGTTCCGTATAAGTTTTGACAGAATTTATACTCGAACTATTTTCTCTATTTTGTGTCGAAATTATTACATAACCAAGTCGAGTGGCTCTATTTCAAAAAGAAAAACTAAAGTGGTCTAATTGATCAAATGCTAAAAACTCAAGGACCCAATTATATAGTCTATTCCTTCTTGCCCACGTCCGGAGACTATTCTTTCAGAACAGGGCATTCAGGGTTTTACATAGAATTCTCTGAGACGAAATTCGTCTCTTTGCTCTTGTCTAAGCCATGAGACATATCTTGGTAAGATATTAGCATTCAATTAAATTTCATTTCTCGAATTTCTGATGAGAGTTTTGATAACCTAACATCGCCGTCGCAATTTTCGAATCACATTTCATGTTCTTGTTCATTTTTATCCTTTTTTGCAGAGAAAAGTTTCGTTGTCTAAAGACAATGCTTTCATCCGATTAGTTGCTTTGGCTACTGCGGGATCAGGACTCGCCTATAAACTTGATATCGAAGATTCTGGTCAGTAGCGTTCTTTTTCTCTTTATAAGAAATGATTTTTGCTCATGAGAAGCAATTTAGTAAAGCTTATAACCATCTGTTCATCTCCACACCACAATTGTGGTCCATTTTCTCAGTTATGCGAAATCAAGCTGTATATGTTATTATGCTCGAATTAAGGATTAAGGACACTGTTCCAGTTTTAGGGTCTACCAATGTGGTATCACGAATTTGAATTTTCATAATTAAGAATCCGATCTTACTAATTTGAATTTTGAATAAAAGAAGGAAGAAATGATTTGGGATCAAAACATTTTAACATATGCTTCAATACATGAATACTATTCTTCATCATTCATCAATTTTACTATATCACTTATTTACATATTCTTACATCTGATGTTTCCTGGACTCACTGTAGATATGTCAATGCGAGTTTCCATTCCAACACGATCACATTACACATTATCTTCATCATGGGGTACACCAGACACAGTTCTCAACTCTCCATTTTCTTCCTCAGCTCCTTCAAGACATGGTTTGTCATTCATTCTATTCATGTTTCTTCAATTTTTTCATTGAATCTGGTCATCATTCTCTTGATTAGTTCCATTGGTGTTCTCATAGGACACCCCCCTTTATCTCTTTTTAGTGTTAACCCAACTTCTGTACCTGGTGTAAATAAAGAGCCACCCTTTAAAGAGACCAGTGAATCCCCAAAACCATGTTGTGGATGTCTGGGCAGGGATACAATTGCAAATGCAGCTGCTAGAGTGGGCCCAGCTGTTGTCAATCTTTCAGTTCCAAAAGGTTTGTTTCAACAATATATAAATACAAATTCAAGAATATAGTAACATTTTTATTAAACAAATGATAGTTTTTTGAAGGTTTCCAAGGGTTAACAGTGGGAAAAAGCATCGGTTCTGGAACCATAATAGATGATGATGGCACCATATTGACATGTGCTCATGTAGTGGTTGATTTTCAAGGGTTCACATCTTCATCTAAAGGAAAGGTTATAGACTTATAAGTTATACAATTCTTGCTCAATTTCTTCATAATACATGATACATGAAATAGTTTTTGTTAGTGACTACTTTACTACTATTTCTTATTGTTGCAGGTTGATGTGACATTACAAGATGGGAGGACTTTTGAGGGTATAGTTGTAAATGCTGATTTACATTCTGATATTGCTATTGTCAAGATAACATCTAAAACTCCACTTCCAACTGCAAAGCTTGGATCTTCAAGCTCTCTTCGCCCTGGTGATTGGGTAGTAGCCATGGGCTGCCCCTTATCCCTTCAAAACACCATCACAGCTGGCATCGTAAGGTAACATTACCCCCCCCCCCCCCCCCCACCCCACCCCACCCACCCTACCCACCCATACAAATGGAAAGATTACTAATGCTCTTTTGTATGTGTTTAGTTGTGTTGATCGTAAGAGTAGTGATTTGGGACTTGGAGGAATGCGGAGAGAGTATTTGCAGACTGATTGTGCCATCAATGCGGTACTCTAAATTTCATCTTTTTGTAAAGGACAAAACAGAACAGGCTGTACTGTGTTTGACATGCATTGAACTGGGGCTCAGACTCTCAGACTAATAATGTGAATAGAACAAAGATCAGAAATTTTTGTCCCACTCAAAGCGGTGGGATAGGGACTTGAATCCTTGATGTTGATATCTTGTTTGGACAAAAGACGTTCATGCCCTTCCCATCCTCATCATTGATAATAGCCCTTGAAAAGTAAACACAAACTAAGATTTTTTTTAATGGGCTTAATGATTTAATCACTTAATATACAAAAAACATGACTTAATGTATTAAGACACTAACCTTACCTATTTGCCCTTCTTTTTTTTTCCTCCCCACTCTCACGTTAAAATTGATGAATATGGTGTAATTTGTTTTTCGGAATGTAAGGGTAAAATAGTCATTTTTCCTCATTCGGTTTATTCAGTCTAGAAAAGAAACAAAAGTAACAAAAGAAACAGACCTTATGCTTACATCACAACGTCATTACCCATCTAGTCGCACTCTACACATAGAGGAATTAAGGAAAAAGAAAAGGGTAAAATGGTCATTTGGTATACTTTTTAGCTTTATCTTAATCTGTTTTGATGTTGTTGGTAATGGTATAGGGTAATTCTGGTGGGCCCCTTGTTAATATTGATGGAGAAGTAATAGGTGTTAATATCATGAAAGTGTTGGCAGCCGATGGATTGAGCTTTTCTGTACCAATCGATTCTGTTTCCAAAATTATTGACCATTTCAAAACTAATGGGTAAAACCAAATTTTACCAAAATAACCTCACTTTTATATACATACATATTAACTTTTATTTCTTAACTTAATAATCACGTTTAAAATTGGGTGTAATAGGAGAGTGGTGCGACCTTGGCTTGGTCTGAAAATGCTTGATTTGAATGATATGATTGTCACTCAGCTCAAAGAAAAAGATGTCATGTTTCCCAATGTTACCAAAGGTGTTCTTGTACCTATGGTATGTTTTTTTTTATTTTTATTTTTTATTATTATTTAATATTCTATCTTTCTGTGACTGTGGCTGTGACTGGCCAGGTAAGCCCTGGATCCCCTGCGGAACGAGCTGGTTTCCGCCCAGGAGATGTTGTCGTTGAATTCGAGGGGAAGCCTGTCACAAGCATAAAAGAGGTAATTATAAATTTTAGAGTAAATTACTGAAATCTTCCCTGTGGTTTGGTCAAAATTGCACGTTTGGTCCCTAACTTTCTTTTTGCACTCGGATCGTACCTGTGGTTTGATTTTGTTGCGTTTTTCGTCCCTATGGTTTCGTAAAAATTGCATGTTTGGTCCCTAACTTTATGTATGTAAGGGACGAAAAATGCAACAAAATCAAACCACAGGGACGAAAAACGCAACAAAAATCAAACCATAGGGATGATCCGAGTGCAAAAAAATAGTTAGGGACTAAACGTGCAATTTTAACCAAACCACAGGGACGATTTCAGTAATTTACTCTAAATTTTAATAATACTTTAAATTTCAACAGTTACCGTATTGGAGTTGAGTTTTTGGTCTGTTCTAGGTAGTGTGGGCCAGCTCAGGGTTGTTGAAATTGAAAGGATAATTTTTTTTGTTTGGGCGTTTAATGACAGGTGATTGAAATTATGGGGGATAAAGTTGGAAAACCGATGAAAGTTGTAGTGAAAAGGGCGAAAGACACTTGTATTACGTTGACTGTGATACCCGAGGAAGCAAATCCAGATATGTAAATGCTTATTGGCTAAGTAGGAATTAGGGGGCCCTAAGTTTGTAGTTTTAGGGCGAAATTATTGATTTATATATAATATATATTATAAAGGTACTACTTTTTTGTTTTCTTATTATTGGTGTTTAACTTGGTTTAAATGTGATAAATATGAATGTTGCCTAAAGTCATGCACATAAGCTCCCAAACAGAAAGTTGCTCGTGTGATTAACATTAGGTTGCATTTAAGTTGGTGTATGTTCATTTGCTAACATTCTTCTTGATAATATGAATCAAATAAATAAGTAATCATATTGATTTCGTTTTATTGTAATTGTAATTGTTATTAACATTTTTAGTTATTATTTAGGGTTTTTAAATGCTACTTACTAATATTTTAAGGATCTTACAAGGTAACTTAGCCTCACTTTTTATAAAAAAAGAATCTTTTAATACATGTAGGAACCAGTATAAACGGGTATCCGTCTAAATTAGACAAAGTCGGAATCGGCTACTCCTAAAATGTTAGAAACAGAATTGGTTGTATTGTTTATCAATATTTTGGAATCAGAACTATCAGGTTTCTGGTACCTATTTTCAAAAAAATTAGTTACAAAATCAAATAAATTATAAACCAATTTACACTCAATGTGTTTTAAAAATCACTTTTTATATGCCTTAGAACTTTTATTTAGAATTATAAGACAAAAGACAATCATTAATTTAAAATCAAAAGGCAAAAATAACATTTTTGTTACAATAATTAGTTAATTATACTCATGTCAATGTAAAAGCCAATGGAAGTCATTCACAATCTTACATAAATAAATTTATTAGTTAATGAACACCGAAAGATAAAAAAAATATTGATGTCTATTTGGACCCCTTAGGCCATGGGCATACATGATATGAAGCTATCGTGGTAATGAGTTGGAGGAGGACAACTATCATGCACACCATCTTGAATATGGATGAGCGTGGGATGGAACCGGTACCGACCCGTCCCGTTTCTGATTTCTTGAATACAGAATTTGATCAAAAGTTAATCCCGATTCCCGAGTACCGAACCGAATTAACATCATCGGTACCGATACCGGGAATGGTACCGGTACTCGGTACTAGTACCGGTACCGATTCCCGAATTTAATGTATTTGAAGTACCAAGTATCGTCTCGTATTTTTAAATTCGGTACGGTTCGGTACCGATTCTAGTACGGTACCGGTACAAGATCGAGATTTGGGATAAACTGTTTATCCCTAATCTTGAAAGTCTCGTATTGATGAATTGGAGCCATAATTATGACCTCATCATTATATACTTATAAAACTTGTATTTTTTTTTTTTGAACCACATTCATTTGAAACTCCCATGTATTTTTTTTTCACCACATTCATTTGAAACTTCCATGACTTTTCAATTTATTTCTAATAATTATTATAAGTTGGTTAATAAGGTTAAATAAATATCATACATAAAGTGTAATCATATATAAACTAAATTTCAATATTAAAAATATATATTTTCTTCTACTTATAAAGTTTGTTTTTAACTTTTAACATATTATACCTAATTTATTTAGTCTAATATGTTGTATGTAAACCATTATCATTCTAAAGCTACAACTTTTGATCAATTTGTATAAAATACTTAAATTGTTAATTTAAATATAACCTTACAGGATCAACTTAAATATAAAATTTAGTTCAACTTAAACAACCCAAAAAATATTTTATAAATAATTAAAAGTGATAAATTGTAGTGTATTTCAAATAATGATTATAAATTGGTTAATAAGGTTAAATAAGTATCAAACCTAAAGTGTAATAAAAATAAACTAAATTTTTATATTAAAATAATATTTTTACTTCTACTTATAAAGCTACGTCTTCAACTTTTAATATATTATACTTAATTTATTAGATTTAATATGTTGTTGTATGTAAACCATTATCAGTTTAAAGCTACAACTTTTGAACTGTATGAACAAAATACTTCAATTGTTAATTTAAATATAACTATATAGTAATATAGGGTCAACTTCAATATAAATTTCAGTTCCACTTAAAAAAACCCAAAGAATATTTTGTGAATAGTGAAAAGTGATAAATTGTAGTGCTAAATACAAAAATTAAATTGTAATATCAATTCACTTAAATATTTCATCATATATTTTTATAATCTTTAAAAGTTTTGAAATAAGTAGCTTAAAATAACATACAATAACAATAGTTAAAAATAACTCTATATAAATGATTATATTGTTACCTTTATAATAAACAAAACTGCAAAAATGGTCCCTGTGGTATGCATTTTTTTGGGGTTTTAGTCCAAACCATGACTTTTTTTGGATTGGTGGTCCTTTTGACCATGTTTGTATGTAGATTTGGTCCCTCGTAAAACTGAAATGACTATAATGCCCTTATGTTATAATTTTTTATTTTTTTCTATTTAATTTAAATGAAAAAGAAAATAAATAATTAATTTGGGCCTCTCTCTCTCTCTCTCTCTCTCTCTCTCTGAAACCCACCAGCGATCCAAACATCGTTCGTAATCCATTTAAACATCAGATTCTAGCAACTTGGATTAACCCACAAAAAACTTAAAGATCTTCACAAACTTTCACTATGAACACACATACACATACTAGATCGAGGTGAAGAAGACCCATTTCAGTGACTATCAAGAAGTCCCTCTCCCTTCCCTCTGCTAGTGAACCTCCTCCTTTTGTAAAAACAATTTCAACACCTGGTTCAATCTTCCAACCATAATCCTCGTCAATAATCCTCTATCTGTTGATTTAAATTCCAAGCCACTAGAAGGGCATCCAAGACTTTCTTCTCAAACGTTCAAAGACCTGAATCCTCACCTCCACCTCCAGCAAACTGAAGTGGGTAAGGTTTTCTGTCAAGATGACTCTAGTTTGTCGATTTCTATGTTCGATTTGGTCGATTTCTATGTCCAATTTCACATGGATTTTCATTGATTTCATCTGGATTGCATTGATTTTAGTGGTAGATGGGTTATATCGGGCTTTCTGATTTTGTGTGTATGGAGATAGAGGTGGATGAAGGTGCTGGTGGCTGGTGTGATATTGGATCTTGTGATTTTTGGAACATCAGTTGATCATCCTTCATCAGCCAAACCAAACTTCAACTCACTCCATCGATGGAGAAACACATGACACTATTGGATTTTTCATCGCTGAGTTGAATCAGATGCAGATTCCCCTCCATCTTCGACTATATAAACGAAGGTGATGGTGGCGGAGTGGGGAGGCGTTGAATATTGTCGGATTCTTATGTGTAGGGGTTTCCAGCGAGAGGAGGGACGAGAGGAACACATTTCTGATTGGAGGCCAAATTTATTTTGGCTGTGGAGGTGGAAGACGAATTGAGAGAGAGAGAGAGAGGGCCCATATCTTTATTTAATATATAAAAATACTTATACAAAAAAAGAAAATGGAAAATAAATCTAACAAGAGCAATTTAGTCATTTCAATTTTACGAGGGACCAAATCTGCGTACAAACATGGCCAAAAGGACCACAAAGCCAAAAAAGTCGGGGTTTGGACTAAAACCCCAAAAAAATGCATACCACAGGGACCATTTTTGCAATTTTGTCAAAAAAAAATGTTTGATGTTTTAAATGATACACTGATGAAAATTAAAACATTAAGTAAATAAATTTTGAAAATGAATTAACAATAACAACAACTCTAAATAATATTAAACCATATATTATATTTATTTTATTTATAAGTAACCCGCAGGTAGAGGTCATTCAAAAGATTGAGATTATGCAGTTTTAATAGATATATATTATCATATAATTCAAAATAATCAATATATTATATCAACTTCGTATACGAATTATTATATCAAATTTAACGACATTATTGTTATATTTAAAGAAATATATATTTGTAAAGATTTCAGCTATATAGATATTTTTACGCAACGCGTGGGCATTCGCCTAATGTGGTATATAACATGAGAGACCACAACCAATGTTCACACTTCTTCTCTTTTCATATGTCTTCCTCTTTCTTCTATATTCCTCTATCTTCCTCTCATCTCATAGCAGGTACACCAAACTTGGAAAAAGATGGTGGTGAGAAGGAAGGAGATGGTGGTGAGGTGGAGTTGCTTGGCATGTCCCCATACCCTATGTAATTTGACCCTCTAATCATTACATCTCAAAATATCCATATTTTAGATAATTATTACATACTAAACATACAATCAACTCAAAATTATAGCTTCTTTTTTCTTTCTATAATCCTGATTATAACAAACTTTTTTTTTTCCAACATGGCAGTGGTTCCGAAAAAATGAAAACCGGAACTGCTTAGGATGGTTCCAATTTTTTTGAAATGGAACTAGAACCGCTAAAGGTGATTTCGATGCGGTTTTGATTTTGAAATCAGGTATCCTATTCTACTACTGCTCAACCCTATATGTGTATATGTTATGACGTTGTGTATGTTCTATTTGTGTTAACTTGTTTTTTTTTTTCTTCCACAAGATTTTATAAAAAGACCAGACTAGCAAGAAACTAACGTAAACAAGAAAAACATTACATAATAGTAATTTTTGGGTTTTGAAGCTACCCCACCCAATTAATGTCTTTCTTACATCTAGCATTACACCAAAAATAAGGCTTAGAAACAATATTATAAAAAACACGAGTTGCCTTCGGTTTTGTAACACCAAACAAGCGAGAATTTTTGAACTCCTATATGGACCACCATGTAACATAGAAAACACATTCTAGAATGTTTTTCGAAACAGACGATAATTGCAAGGCTTTTAGCAAAACCAACCAATTTACATAGGAAGAGAAATTGGACACCGATAAACCCCACCACCTAGTCACTTGAAAAATAATACTGGAAGAGAAACCACACTCAAAAAAGATATGTGATGAAGACTTGAAAATATTTAACATGATGGATATATTTAACTTTTAACATGTGAAACTTTTTCGCAAAATAAAAACTCTTAAAACATGAAATTGGAAATACCTTGTTAGAATGTGAGTGATACACAAAAGAATCCTTGAATTTTATAATTATAATGGAGTTTTAATACTGGAATTTTTAAAGACTGGTTTGAATAAATCTTTACGAAAATTAAACATCACCGAATTCAATAAGGCGAGTTTGTGGTATCTAGCTAATGTATAATCTAATACTTCCCCGTCTCAAATTAATTGTTCACTTTTGATTTTTGAAGTATTTTTTCCTCAACTTTAACCTTAAATATTTTTA